ACGATGTAACCCTTCTTCCTTAGGACCGCGGCATCATCCATGGTGCCAGGAGCGGCCGGTGCCGCTGCCCTCTACATCCCCTCCCCACACGGGCCAGCAGGCATTGTCCTCATCTGCACTGTGGGGAGTTGCTGGCTGGGCTGGGCCTGGACTTGGAGGGGTAGAACGCTCAGCATTGTCGCCAGGTGACTTCAGCGAATGAAGTCATAAAGCCAGGCTGCCGGGAGTGGGGACTGGGGAGTGGGGACTGGGCTGAGGAGAATGGGGCCCCTGGAATCCTGGAAGCCAGGCCAACCTGGAAGGAGCACCCTCTTCCTCCCCGCCCACTGGAACAAAGCCAGGACCCAGGATTGTGGTAACCCTCCCTGCTCCTCTTTCTTGCTATTGCTTCCCTGTCATAAGTCAGGCCCAAAAGGAGGTGGCTCAGGTCCAGCCAGAGTACCAATCCCATGCCCATTTCTCTTACCTGGTCATGGGAACTGACCCTGCATTGGTCCTTCTTTCACTAGGACCAGTTTTCCTGCAAATTCTTAGGGGTGTGAAGAAAACTCCATAGAGCTTCTTGGAATCTGTGGTATCTCAAGCCAGTGGTGGTTCCAAACCTGGTGGACCAAAGCAACTCTTGTGTTTGAGATCAGGAGCTGGAGTCCTTGGGCTAGACAACTAGGCAGATGAGCTGCTGTTGCTTCAGTGAGCAGGGGTGTTTATGGGGATGGGAGGGCAGACAGTACTCAGAGATGCATTGTTTGCCTGGCTAGGTGGCTAAGGGTCCAGGGCAGGGAGATGCATGTTCCAAGGGGCAGGGCAAGCTTAGAGATGGGTCAGGCTTCAGCCAGGTGGAGGAGGTGGTGGGGCATCTAGTCTTCTGAGAGTGGCTGACAAGTCAGGAAGGGAGAGGAGGAGAAAGTCAGGGGCTTTTTTCTCTAAGTGATGGGAAGTGATTGCATAATCCAAGTCTCATTTTAAGGTGGTCACTGGCAGAAAGAAAAGAATTAGCTTTGGGGAGAGTGTGGAAGCTTACTGCCTTGGGTCAGGTTTGAGAAATCTGGGCCAGTGTAGGCTTCTGGGGGTTTAAAAAAGCCCCAAAAGGGTCAGCCTGGATCTAGTCAGTGAGTGGGATGGTTCTGTGGCAGGGTCCTGGGGGATTGGCAACATTCAGAGCATTATCCATGAAGGGCAAGCTTCTGGGTGGGGAGGGGGTCCAGAATATTTCACTTTGGACATTTGGACATTGATGTGGAGTAAGCAGGGGTCACTTGCTAGAACCCTGGCATTACATATCATTTGCATCTCAGACTGCCTATTGTACCTGGTGTGTGGATTTTTGCTTTGGAAAATTATATACTTTATGCATCTCTTTAGCTACTTTGGAAGTCCTGATGTTTGCTTGCCATCCATCAGAGGCATCCTATGCCCACAGAAGCTTCTAATACAGGTGAGCTAGGGGTGTTGTATTAAGAGGGAGCAGAAAGGCCTGTTTCTTGCTTTTTCTTTTTTTAGTTGCAGGTGTACATAATAACTTTATTTATTCATTTATTTTTATGTGGTGCTGAGGATCAAACCCAGTGCCTCACACATGCTAGGCAAGTGGCCTATCACTGAGCCACAAGCCCAGCCCAGAAAGCCTGTTTCTATGTGGGATTTCAAAGTTTCCAAAGAGGAAGTGACATAGGAGTTCTGGTACAGAGAATCCACAGAGCTTCACCAGGTGGACAATGGGATAAACATGTTAGGCAGAAATGACATCTTGGAGCAAAGGCATAGCTGTGTGGACACATCTGGAGCTTGTAGTGTGCCCTGAGTCTGGCAACCTAACTTGGGCTGCCAGTATAAGAGACAGGATGGGTAGGGTGGGCAGATGTATCCATGGTGACCACCTTTCAGCAGCACCAGATTCCTCAGTCAGGCTCTGGCTCTGTAGAGTACTCATAGCTAATAGCTTTAGCTTCATGCATTCCTTTCTCCGAGAGGCTCTTTTTGGCTGAAATGACCGTAACTTCACTCCTTTGTGTCCTAGAAGGGGCTGGCTGTAAGATTTGCAGGCAAGGGGCTGGGGATGTAGCTCAGTGGTAGAGCACTTGCCTAGTACGTGTGAGGCACTGGGTTTGATCCTCTGCACCATATAAAAACAAACAAATAAATAAAAAAATATTTTAAAAAAGATTTGCAGGGCAGGACCCAGGAGTATGATACTTCCTTCTTCTCCCACATTCCTAGCAACCACTGATGCTGGAGCATCTCTGTTTATTAAACACAGGGCACACTACATACTATTGGTCATAATATTGGTTAATTGCACCAATTCACCATCTCCTCCTCCTCCTCCTCTTTCTTCCTTCTCTCTCTCTCTCTCTCTCTCTCTCTCTCTCTCTCTCTCTCTCTCTCATGGATGTTGCTCTCTCAACCCTGCCCTTGCCCAGGATAGTGTGGTCTCTCTGTTTCTTCAGGGACATGCTGTAGGAAGCAAGTGTCAGCTTGGCACAAGCAGAGCTGCTGAAACATGGAGTGGGTGGTTTTGTCCTGGGTGTTTTTGTCACGAGGCTAGGGCACCTAGTATATTTGGAGTAGGTTAGATCTGACTGGAGACCTCTAGGGTTATACCTAGTGTGGCTGGGGACCTGCACATTCCAGGAAATCTATAGTCCTCTGAGTTTCACTTTCTTAAATAAATTAGATCCCCACTGACCCATTCTTCCCACAAGCTTGTGAGAGTCTGTTTTAGGTGCTGAGGGACACCAGTGAACTAGAGGCACTCATGCCTTCCTGGATTCCAGAGGTCAGGGAAGCTAGATGTCATACCGACCAGTGTGAGTGCATGATGGTGGTTGTGTCCTGACATGGCACCATGGAGCTGTGAGGACAGAGAATTGGAGATTAAATTTAAGAAGGCTGAGGTCTGGGTAACTAGCCAGGTGGAAGAGAATCGCGGGTAGGTAATGCCTATAATGGCCTGAGGGTCACCTCATGATGAGGACATAAATGACCAGGGAACCACCTTGAAGTCTGGTCCTAAAGCCTCTGAGGATGAAGGTGATCAATCCAGGGTCAAACACACCAGAAAAACTGTCCAAAAGGATGAGGCTATCTGTGGAAGCTATTGTTACCTGGGCCTGCTGCTCTGGTACTGTGCTTTCAGGTAGGTTGCCAATCCTTTCTGAGCTATTTTCACACCTGTAAAGCACACAGCAGGTACTCCTAAAGCCCCCCCTGCCCAGGATGCCTTCTGGCTGGGATGGGCTGCAGTGAGTCACTCCTAGGCCTTCTTACTCTCCTCTGTCCTGAGGACTATGGAAGACCTGCAGGGATGAGCCATTCTCCACCTCCCCACCCAGATAGCATCATGTGCCCTGGGATACCATTCCAACACAAGCTTATTCATGGGAAAGATGCTGGGAGGCCTTCTAGTATTACTGAGGACTGTTCTGTGCCCAGATCCTGGGTACTCAGAGGCCTCCCTGGCAGAGTTCACAGGAACAGGATGCAGAGCACCAGTAGGAATCCCAAAAAGGTTTTGTGGAGGCCAAGGCCCCTTGGCTAAGCCTGGGGAGATGGGCAGAGTCTGCAGGGGCAAGTCTACTAGTAATTATGGCACTAGTGTGTGATGGAGGTATGGGGGTCAGGGTCATCTCTAGGAGGCCAGCAGAGAAAGGATGGGTCTAAAGAAGGCCAGGGCTGGGATTGTGGCTCTGGGGTAGAGCACCCGTCTAGCATAGGTGGGGCCAGGGTTCGATCCTTAGCACCACATAAAAATGTATTGTGCTGTGTCCATCTACACCTAAAAAATAAATTAAAAAAAGGAGAAGGCCAAGCCTGAGAATACCTAAGAGGTTAGGTACTTGAATCCATCCTGTGGGTGGTAGGGGCCAGATTGGGTGTAGGAGGGTGGTTCCTGTGGGAGGTGATGGGAGGAGAGGGGGCTATGGGATGAGGGAGAAGCCAGGGAGGAAAGTAGATTGGATGTAGGAAGGGATGCTGGGATCTCACTGGACCTCAACTTTTCCCAGGGTCTTGGGAGTTGGGGTGTTTCCAAGTTTGGGATACAGATGGAGGAGTGATTTTAAATGCTCTTGTTTTTGTGTATGTGTACTAAGCCCTTAGCACCACCCCCCATGAGGTTATCCAATGTGAGGTGAAGAGAGGGGCCACTGTGGCCAAGAGAGGATTGCCTGGGACAAGGCACAGGTAGGGCATGCAGCACATGGCAATCAATAGTGCCAAGTGCAGGCCATACCTCCCATGGGATACTGGTACCTGCCTTGTTTGTCCACAGGGTCCCGGCATTCTTTGTGAGGATATCTATTCTATTTGCCAGTGTCAGCTTCTTACCTCTGGAAGGAATGCCAACCCTGGCATCAGGCTGAGGAAGGGATGTGGTCAAGGCCACACAGGACTGTGGAACATGCTGGGCCATCCAGCTGAGTCTCTTACTTCTCCTGGGCTGAAGAATGACCATGGTGGGGATATAACTCAGGGCACTGTTGAGAACTGGGTGCCAGTTGGACATGGGGGGAACATGTCCCATGGTGGACAGAACAGAAAAAAAAAACAACAGTTGTCCTGCCCTCTGCAGTCTCTCCCCCAACCCTCACTGACTGGAAAGCTTACGTAATGCATGCCAAGGGGTGATGGTGGCATATCAGTCTAGAACTCAGCTTCAAATGCAGAGAGCCAGCTATCCCAGTATGAGAGGCCCTGGCCTCCCACCCTTCCTTTGCAGGCAACTGTGTTGCCTTTCTCAGCCTTCTACCCTTTCCTACCCCTAATCAGCACCCATGGACCTTCCTCTGGAAGCAATATCTTCCTCATTCAACTCTCTGCTCTGACCCATGCCCCTCCAGGTCTCCCCAACACCTGGAAAAGCTGCCTTAGCCAGGTCCTAAGGTCACAGTCTGAGCTGGGCACACTGGGATATATTTTTCCAGGAGTGAGAATTCATAATCTGAGTGGGAAGCCAGGGGGCACCCAGGACTGCAGTCAGTGGGGCAAAGACATTCACCTCGGGGTCTGCACTAATATAGTGATTTATTGCTTCTTTAGCCATGTTAGTTACCAAGTTCAAAGGGTGGGAGAAGAAACTGACGAAAATAGCGGCTCATCCGGGACTGTCTTCCTTCTCTGCTCATCCCTTGACTCCTTCTGGGCTCAGGCTTCAAGCCATGAGCTCTGCCTCATTCCCTGCCAGCCCCCTGGGCTGCAAGAGGCTCACTAGGTGTGTGTCTCTGGAGGCTGTTGGGGAGGCCCTTCCTCTGATTCCCTGATCATCTGCTCACTGCTGAAGCCCAGGGTCTCTGATTGCCTGGCCACTTGCACTGTATCCTCCTCAGGTTTCGTCTCAGGCCGTGTCTCGTGTCGTGCCTCAGCTCGAGCCTCTTCCCGAGGCTCCAGCTTGGTGGCGGATTTCTTGTCAGAGCCAGGTTCAGGGGTCCATTGCGGGTCAATGCTCCGGGAGCTCTCCCCCTCCTTGATGGCTGCAGAGGATAGACCCCGTGCCTTGGGTTGCACCCAGCAGTGGCTGAGGATCTCATCTATGTGCAGCCGCCGGTTAACATCCGGCTGTAGCATGCGGTAGATGAGGTCCTTACATTCTCCTGTCAGGTGCTTGGAGCGTGGGAAGTTGACACGGTGCTCCTTCTGAATGCGCAGCATTTTCTTGATATTGGAGTCATCGTAGGGCATGGAGCCACAGACCATGATGTAGAGGATCACGCCAAGGCTCCAGATGTCATACACTTTGGGTTGGTAGGGGATGCCCTGCAGCACCTCAGGGGCTGCATATGCTGCTGACCCACAGAAGGTCTTGCTTAATATCAGTCGGCCACTTTCGTCCCGCAGGCAGCGCTTGGAGAAGCCAAAGTCAGACAGCTTGATGTTGAAGTCCTTGTCAAGGAGAAGGTTCTCGCACTTGAGGTCTCTGTGGACGACATCCAGGTCATGGCAGTACTTGATGGCCGAGGAGAGCTGGTGGAACTTCTTACGAGCATCATCCTCTTGCAGGGCTCCCCGGGTTTTTATGAATTCAAGGAGGTCTCCTTGGACCCCAAGCTCCATGACAATGTAGACCTTGCCGTCTGATGTCTCAAAGATCTCGTAGGTCTTGACGATGGAGCGGTGGTTTAGCATGGCCAGAATCTCAATTTCCCTGGGAAGGAATTTCTCCAGGAAGTCTGTGGGGGCTTTCTTGCGGTCGATGATCTTGACCGCCACGTTGAACTTTAGGCGCTCAGAGTAAGCGGATTTGACTTTTGCGTATGAGCCCTCTCCCAAATTTATCCCCATGATGTAGCCTCGTCGCTTGAGGACGGCAGCGTCATCCATGGTGCCGGGAGAGCCCAGTGCCTCTGAGGCTGCCCTCTACATCCCTGCGGGACATGGGCCAGCAGTGTCCTCATTTACACTGTAGACAGAGAGTCCTCTGGGCTGGCCGGGCCTACTGTCCCTGCCTCCTAAGAGGCCAAGACTCTAAGATGGAACATTCAGCACTGTCTCCCAGGTGACTTCAGTGGGTGAAGTCACAAAGGAGGAGTGCCCTAGGGAAATGAGGCTTTGGCTTGGACTTGGAACCCTGGGAGGATCTGCCAGTGGGCTGGAGCAGACTGAAGGCCAGCAGAGTGCCCTCATGCTTGGCTGGGACTTGAGGTAAGAGAGGGCTGTGGGGAACACAAATGTTTGCCCATGTTTCCAAAACCATAACCAGGATTGCTTGTAGAGTGATGGCGCTGGTGACTGCAAACCAGGTCACTCTAGAGAATCTAGGGCAGGTCCTATCAACAGGAAACAGCAGACACACTGAATTTACAATAGTTTGAGGAGGATTTAATTAAGGGATGATTTACAAGGTGAAAGCAGAGTGTAGGGAACTCCAAGGGTAGTATAGGTACCCTAAGGTAGTTACAGACCTCTGGCCCACATGGAAGGAGGAGTATAGAGAAAACCACCCTGAGAGAGGCAAAAACCGTTGATGGAGGGAAAGAGCTAGGCTGTGGTGACATCACAGGTTTGTTTCAGGGAAAGTGATCCAGACCTCTTTTCCTCCCTTTAGCTCTTGACATTATTCACACAGGCAGTTTGCAGGGGCCCAGAGCAAGGCTGAAGAAAGGTGAAGATGGGTTATGAGGTGCAAAGATTCAGTTGCTGCAGTTTGGGAAAGCAGGACTTTGCACTCTCATTGCAAGATTTGGTTAGACTTTTCACCTCTCTGTAGTTTTCTTTCCTCATCCAAACCTTTGCTGGCCTGCTTCTCTTACAGTGGCTCTTCTTCGAGGACAACTGACTCGAATTCTGCTCTTGACTGTAAGTTCCCTCCTAGGGCCCTTGCCCAGCTTATGGTCCTGGCTGGGCTCCCAGGACAGATCTGGGGGAGAAGCAAAAGGCTGGACCTAGAACCCATGCTGAGTACTGGAAGCTGCTCCTGGGAATGCTCTGAGAATGGCACAAGCAGCAAGGGCAGCACTGGACAGGGACCTTCGTTTCTGCCAGCAGTGGGATCCCTCTGCTGTGACAAGCCCTTAGTCCAGCACCTGATCTGGGCTGTGTCCTGGGAGAGTATGATCCCTTGAAGGTCTGGCCTAACTTTGGGTTTGACCTTGACTTATTCACATTGAGAGAGAGTAAGGTACCCTCTGTCATGACCTCAAGAGTCACAGGCTGGAAAAAGGGATGGAGGTGGGTCAGGGTATGCTGGGATCCCACTAGCTTTGGCCCTTACCCTTTTTCTGTGCTCCTCATCTTCACTTTTCCTAGCCTTGACCACCCATACTGCCAGGTCTGGTGTTTAGCTGGTGGACAGCCTGCTTATCCCTCCTGCTGAGGATGCCCCATCTGTTATCTCTCCTCCCTGTTCACCCTATTCATGGTGACAGGTGCAAAGTCAGCACTTGGAGCTTTGTTCCCAGAGAGTTTAGCATCATCCCTCATCTCTACCCAGTGCTTTCCTCTATGCCTTCGCCTCCTCTCCCAGTGTGTAGGCAGGTCCATCCTCCAGAAGAGGCCAGCTTTGCTCCAGTCTTTAGGATCTGGGCTTCCCTGTTATTCTTTGTGTGACTCCCTTAGCCCATTTACTCACCTGTTAAGACTTTCAGGTTTTGTTGTTTTTTTGGTTTTGGTATTGGTTATTGAACACAGTGGTGCTTTTACCACTGAGCTACACCCCCAATCCTTTTTATTTTGAGACAGGGTCTTGCTAGATTGCTGAAGGCTTGCCTCGAACTTGTGATTCTCCTGCCTCAGCTTCCCCAGTCGCTAAACTTTCAGTTTTGTGTGCTGATGAAGTCACACCTGTCTTTTCCTTACAGGACTGACCCTCTTCCCTGTTACCCCGCTCCTCCAGTTTTCTTCCTTCATCCTCCACAGCGGTCCAGTCTTAAAACGCCACTTTAGGGTGCACTGTTGGGTATCGGAGACGACGTGGGTCCGCCAGTGTGAGGATCCTTTGGGTCTTTGGGTCCTGCTTCGACTTCTAGATTGGCTATTCCCGCGACACCACTCCGCTTCGCCCCCAGGCCCTGCCCCTCTGAGTCAGTCATTGCGGTCTCACTCCTCCCCCTCCCCCTCTCCCATTGCTCAAGCCTGGCTCTGTAGGACCCTAGACGCTTGGGTGGCCCAGCCGCTAAGACCTCGCCCCCAAGGCCCACCCCTCTGCCTAGCCAATGGAATGCTTCAGGCCTGCTCCCTTTAGGGACCGTCCCTCAGTCTCTTTCCCCGCCGTCTGGGCCTTAGGCCTCTCCCCTTTTCAGGCCCTCCGCTCAGACTCCGCCCCTTGCCTAGCCCAGATTTGCACGCAGCAGAACGCGCGCGGGCTCCGCCCCCCTCGGTGGTCATTGGCTCGCGCCAGCGTCGCGGGTTGGAGGCGGGGCGGCGCGGGCTCGAACAGGACGGCCGCCATCTTGCGCGGAGCTTGAGTCGGTGCCCGAGGTTGTGGCCTAGAGTGAGTGCGAGTCTGTTGCCCTGCCTCGCCCCGGCCCTGCCTCGCCGCTGCTCGATCCCACCACGGCTCAATCCCGCTGCGGCCCCACCGGAGTCCTCGTTCGCGGAGTCCCCGCAACTAGCCCGGGTCCAGCCTTTCGAACCTCACCCCGGCCCGGTCCGGCCTCCCCGCGGGGTCACGCGGCCGCCCCGGGGACGATGAACGGAGGATAAATGGTGCCCAAAGCAGACAGCGGTGCTTTTCTGCTGCTCTTCCTACTCGTGCTCACAGTTACTGAGCCGCTGCGACCAGGTGCGCGGCGCGGTGGGGGGGCGGGGCGGGGGGCGGGGCCGCGGCCGGGAGTCCGGCGAGGGCCAGAGCCGGGACCACCCTCCACACTCAGCTACCTCAGGCGGTGCGCGTTTGAGAAAGAGATGGGTGAGGTCTGGTTCACCGGCTGCTGGGCGCAAGCTCTAGCTTCCGGTACCTGATACCGGGCGCCTTGCAGGTCTTGCCGCTCTGTCCTCGAGGATGTCGCCTCTGGATCCTCCTCCACCAAGCACTGCGTGCCCTGAGAGCCACCGGCCAGGAGCTGCGCCTTGGGCGCGCCCTGCGGCCAGCCCCAATGTCATGATCGACCTGGAGGGCTGGGGGCCGGGAGCAGTTCGTGGAGGCACCTGGTTTCACAGGCGTCCGCCCCCCTGTGGCCTGGTACAACCTTTCAGCCCAGGACAGCGGTGACTGGGTGGCTTGTTTCCTGTGAGACGTTGCACCGGAGAAATCCTCAGCGCAGAGCCCGATCTAGAGGAGGTACTAGGTCTACAAGCATCCTGTGCAGGGGGCAGAGATCTCGCCGTGGTGCCAGACTCTTAGCAGTGCTCCATTTGTGTGACGCGATTAAATGCTTTTGGAACTCCCCTTGGTGGAAAATCAGAACCATGACTACTAGAGGGCCCTTTTCTGCCTATGTGGGGTATCCCTGAACTGCACCAAGAAAATCGGATCCCCCTTAAGGAAGGATCATTTATCCTGTGCTGCAGACCCATTGTTCTTTTAAGGGGCTACAAAATGTTTTAGTGAGCAGAAAAAAAGATTCTTAGATGGAAGAAAATGTTGTGTGTATTAATACAGTCACCTTTACTTCAGTCCAATGAAAAGTACAATTCTTAATTTTTTGGTACAGTGGATTGAACCTAGGACATCTCACTTATTAGGCAAGCACTCTACCAGTGAGCTACATTCCCACCCTTTTTTATTTTGAGACAAGAACTAAGTTGCCAAGGCTGTCCTCAAACTTTGATTCTCCTGCCTTAGCCCTCTCAATCGCTGGGATTACAGGCTTGCACCACTAGGCTGATTTCTGACTGATTCTTACTGGTTTGTTATTGAGGCAGTGTCCTATAAAGGGTGAAGTGCCCAGGGCCATCTTCTGAGAGTGACATCAAGGATGAGGTGGGAGCACAGAGGTGTGTACTTCACTTTGTTGACCTATCCAGGTTATCATCCTAGAAATGCTGCATTTAGGGGCTGGGGTTGTGGCTCAGCAGTAGAATGCTTGCCTGGCACTTGTGAGGTGTCCAACTACAACTAAAAATGAAAAGAAAAGAAAGAAATGCTGCACTCTGGGCTTCATGCCTTTGTTATCTGCCTGGAATGTCTGCCTCTTCCCGGATGTCAACCTGATGGCCGGTGCCCTAGGCCCATGCTTAACCTGAACAGAATCAGTGATGTTTCCCTGGCTTCTCTGAGTAAGCTCATTGTGGAATGACCTTGGCAGGGATAGAAGCCATGAAAAAGTTTGCCTATGAGGAGGGTACAGAGTTGATGAGTTTGTGGGTTCTTATTAAATTCTTCATAAATGTGTGTACCTTTAGAGAGGTAAAACAATCCTGTTGTGGTTCCTGAATCCCAGTTTTATATATGAGGTCACTGGGCTTGGAGATGAAGTCACACATAATGCCCATCATCTTTGGCATACCTCTGGTTTCAGGTCCAGCATCTCCTGCCTGGATCACGGAAGTGACCAATGTCTTTAACTCCTTTTCCCCATTAACATATTTTACCAGATGGCTAGAAGCAGTAAAGAAAGTGTATGTAAATGCTTGATGTCTGCCCATCACTGGGAGTGTTCAAATGAAGAGAACATACCCTTCCCTTTAGGAGTTCCTGACGTGGAGGCAGAGTCTAGGTACATTCTTTTTGGTTGAGTACCCCTTGAGCATAGGAGCCCAGAGAAGGTGGCAGAGTTGTCTGTCCTTTTGCACCTGTGAAGTAGTGAGTACCCCCAAGTGTGGCAGCCTCGAGACAGGTTGGCAGAGTTGTCTGTTCTTTTGTACTTGTGAAGCAGAGTAAGACTGCAGGAAGCTCATTCTGGGGTCTGAGTGAGACATGAAATGGGGGGGGCTCCAGTAGAGTGAGCAAAGTTATCCTTTTAATTCCATATCCCTCCATATCAAAAACATGTTTTGGCTTTTCTTATTTCAGCAGCCCTTGGGTGGTGTTTTGGATTGCCCTAAAAAATCTCAGGGATCCAACTGGCCCCTGACTTTCATTAGGCAACTAGGACAATTCTCATCCTGGGCCAGATGTTTTCTTTGGATGCTCAGGTGTGCCTCTTCACATATTTGCTTAGTGTCTATCTTTAGAATGCCAGGCAGAGGTTTGCCTGTTTGGTGATTGTGAGAGGAAGGGACTTCTCCTTTTTGAGAAAGAGAAGCCCCTGGTCTTGGTTTGCTCTCTTTTTTGTCTGGTTTTGAACCATACTTGGGTGTTAAGAGGGGCACTAGCTAGAACCTGCGTCTTGGGAGGGAGGCAGGT